ACGAAGAGTCTTGCATCTGCAGCAGCCGTAATAATAATTAGCAAAATTCAATTTTCTCTCCGAGAACTCAACAGGAATAATTTTTTCAGGAGCATGTATATATTGCCATCCACAGACAGATGAAACATTCAGCTTCCCAAAGATGTAAACAAAGAAATTCTATCACACAGACACCGCATTGGTTTTGAAAATGACTGGTTTTGTCGAAATTTTTTAACAAAATAACACGATATGGACTTCAAATTGTTTATACAAAATTTCGATCCAAATACATAATATACTATTCGAAAACTGGAATAATGCAATAAAAATTTAAACAGACAGGCCTTGTCGGCTTTTTAATCAAACTAAATAGGTTCCGTACTGTTTAGTAGGTATTCCATTTAATTCAAATTAACATCAGCACGCCTTTACCCTTTTAACACGTATCAGAGATGTTCCTTCTCCAATGCAGTAGTATTTTAGTTTTGTTGTTCTATATTGTCTATGATGACAAGGACTTTTGTGACATGAGCTAAAAACAATGGTGCCATCATTAACAGAGATGTAAGATTTTCAATCGCAGTATTTGGATAATGTATTTTTTGTTAATCGCGCTATGGGCATTCCATTCTATTTCATCATGGGCCCATCTAAGCTTCGTATAGTCGCTTTAGTTTCGGAAGAAAATACAGACAAAATCTGTCTAACATTTGGATATTTTTTATTATACTCTTCATCGATCTAAGCTTTCGGCTCATATGAGCCATCATCAGAGTGGTTATATGGACATTACAACACAGATATTCACCACCAAAGATGGCATCTTCTTATATTACATAGAAGTTAGCTATACGACGATAACGGTCGCAAAATAGCAAACGCAGGTTGGAAATTTGTAACGCGAGAGAATGTAATGTTATTATAAATATATAGGCACAGTGCTCAATGTATGTAATATAATGTATGTTAACAATATAATACTCAATAAGATGAGTATTATAAACCGTTAAGAGATTAAATTGCATCTCCGGCCTGACGATACCTCAATGGTTGAAACTATTGTAGCGGTTGCGCAAGCAATTAATCTACTTGTTTTTTAATATATATATATATATATATATATATATATATATATATATATATATATATATATGTAAACATAAAACATTAGGCAGCATATAATTTATATACAAAGAAATAATCACACATAGAATGAATCAGCAATATTAATGGTATTATTGGCGACATCCATCGCTAGTAGTGTATAATGTATGCATTAAAATACTGTTAATCCATAGAGTGACGTGATCCTCATTTATAAAACTGTTGTCTGTTGTTTCCAGTTTATATTTTACCACATCACAAGAAAAGTTCAAATAAAATTCTCACTTAAAATTTTGAAAAACTTAGCGTTGCGTCTTTGCACGTTCCGAGATTGTACACAGCCGTTAATAATAGCACATACTCAAGATAAAACATCTTTCGGTCGACAAACAATTATTTCGTCTTCAAGTTTTTCATTTTATAAGGAAAACATATGCCTGACGATGAATAAAGGATTATTCGAACGTACTTGCATTTAAAAAAAATATAAACTGGAAACAACAGACAACAGTTTTATAAATGAGGATCACGTCACTCTATGGATTAACAGTATTTTAATGCATACATTATACACTACTAGCGATGGATGTCGCCAATAATAGCATTAATATTGTTGATTGATTCTATGCGTGATTATTTCTTTGTATATATATATATATATATATATATATATATATATATATATATATATATATATATGAGATAGCTATATATATTTTTCTATATCAGGGACAGTATTGAGGAACTAGTAAGAAAAAAGGAATTGTGACCCGTTTTATCCGTTAGGACTTCATCGGATTGTGTTTAGTGACATTGTTATGACGACGCAAGCGCATGAAAGAGAGACGCTGGTAGCTTAGACATTTTTAAAGAATTCTGTGAATTTTTTTTTTTTTTTGTGATCTAGCCAAATTCATCTATATTCTTTTTCTTTTCATCATCAATGTTTTTAAATATACCTCATTAGGATAACAGAAAATCGTTGTGAGAACCTGAATGTAAACTTACTGTAGCTGAACTAGCGATTAAAGCATTTTTAGACATTGTTGCCAGTTTCGTAACGGTGAACGACCAATGCGTTTTGTATATTGTTTTTTTTTTTTTTTTTAAAAAAACAAAGTTAGGAAACGGGAATGTCCCGTTGATTTCGGATGAATTTGTTCAGCAGCATATCAACACCTCTATCCTTTATTTAATACCGAAATCTAAAACTTTTGCGAGTAAATCTACGCTTTAAACTATCAATATGCCGTACATGATTTTATACATTCTGGGTAAAGATATTTTATGTAAATATATAGTTTTTACATCATAAAATCTATTGTTGAACATATTTTTTTAATGTATTGCTGGTTATTTCACTACAAAAATATACTGCCGGTAATTTTATTATAAAAATGCTTTTCCATACTGTTGTGGTAGGATCCACCTAATTTGCATAGTGGCGTACCGACCATATAAATATGGTTGGTACCGGGAAGAGAGGGAGGAATCAAGAGATTCAATCCAGAGACTCTGCCCGACTGCGACTAAGTCAACACATTCTCCAGGAACGGTCTTCCCAAGAATATACAAAAGACTATATGTAAATATTGTGTACACTTTCTTGTTTCAATACATTTTGTTCTAAGTACATTTTGTGTTGTATTATTATTCCATGCATTAGTCAAGTTTCAACACATACCTCTTTTTAGCGTTGTATTGTCATTTTAGTATAAAAATATAAGTTTATTTTGTTTGGGGCGTCACTATTTACCCATAGCTGTGACCCTAACAGATACAACCAACCCGGGTTTGGGTGTACCTGACAACAGCAGCAGTTAAGAGATGATTCCACGCTGCCCAAAAAGCCCAATCTCCTGATCAGAGGCGTTGCTGCTGGATGTAGTTTATCGTCATACCGAGGAGAAGGGACTTTTCTGTCTGCCCACTCAAGCAAGCCTTTCCATTAAAATGTTCATAATAATAGAAAATACATTAATTACTTGGAATTCCTCTCTCTATATATTTAATAGTAATGAAATTATCTATCTATCTATTTATCTATCTATCTATCTATCTGTGTTTATGTTTATACGTTTTTTGTTAAATTTTCTTTTACTTTCTTTAATTTCTCTTTTCTTTGTTTCTTAATCTATTTCATATAAATCTTTCTCTTAATTTCTCTTTTCCTTTCTTTTTCAAAACTTTTGGTTACTTTTCTTTGTCTACTTTTGTTTTCTCTTTATTGAAAATTCTTCATTTCTTCTTTCTTCCCCTTTTGTTTCATTCTTTGCCACTTCGTTTGAGTTTTTCTTTTAATTTTTAAGCATTACTTTTGTTTTCTTAAATTTGATTTTAGTTTCATTTTCTTTTAATTCACTCATTTTTCGCTAATTTTCTACTACTTCTTTCCTGATGATGTTAAAATACACATCTTTCTTTCTTTCTTTTTGTCTTTCTTTCTTTCTTTTTGTCTATCTTTCTTTCTTTCTTCCGTTTTTTAACTTTTTATTCTTTCCGCTTTTCATCCTTTTTTGTCTTGTACATTTTCGTCTTTTAGCTCTCTATTATTTGTTTGTTTGCTTCTTTCTTTCTTACTTGTAGCTTTATATTCTTTCTTTCTTTCTTTCTTTCTTTTTCTTTCTTTTTCTTTCTTTCTTTATTTCTTTCTTTCTTTTATATTTAATTCTATCTTATTTGTAATATCAGACACTTCATTTTCATTCTTTCTTTCTTTCTTTCTTTCTTTCTTTCTTTCTTTCTTTCTTTCGATTTCCATTTTTTATTTTTTCGAAACAATGCAATTTCATTCTTTCTTTCTTTCTATTCTTTCTTTCTTTCTTTCTTTCTTTCCGCCCTTTCTTTCTTTCCGCCCTTTCTTTCTTTCCGCCCTTTCTTTCTATTCTTTCTTTCTTTCTTTCTTTCTTTCTTTCTTTCTTTCTTTTATATTTAATTCTATCTTATTTGTAATATCAGACACTTCATTTTCATTCTTTCTTTCTTTCGTTTTCCATTTTTTATTTTTTCGAAACAATGCAATTTCATTCTTTCTTTCGTTCTATTCTTTCTTTCTTTCTTTCTTTCTTTCTTTCTTTCTTTCTTTCTTTTATATTTAATTCTATCTTATTTGTAATATCAGACACTTCATTTTCATTCTTTCTTTCTTTCTTTCTTTCGTTTTCCATTTTTTATTTTTTCGAAACAATGCAATTTCATTCTTTCTTTCTTTCTATTCTTTCTTTCTTTCTTTCTTTCTTTCTTTCTTTCTTTCCGCCCTTTCTTTCTTTCCGCCCTTTCTTTCTATTCTTTCTTTCTTTCTTTCTTTCTTTCTTTTATATTTAATTCTATCTTATTTGTAATATCAGACACTTCATTTTCATTCTTTCTTTCTTTCTTTCTTTCGTTTTCCATTTTTTTTTTTTTTCGAAACAATGCAATTTCATTCTTTCTTTTTTCTTTCTTTTCTTTCTTTTCTTTCTTTCTATCTTTCTTTCTTTTATATTTAATTCTTTCAGACACATTTTTCTTTTTCTTTTCTTTCTTTCTTTCCGCAATTTTATTTTCTTTTTTCTTTCTTTTTTCTTTCTTTCTATTCTTTCTTTCTTTCTTTCTATTCTTTCTTTCTTTCTTTCTTTCTTTCTTTCTTTCTTTCTTATATATTTAATTCTATCTTATTTTTAATACCAGACACTTCATTTTCATTCATTCTTTCTTTCTTTCGCTTTCCATTTTTTTTTTTTTCGAAACAATGCAATTTCATTCTTTCTTTCTTTCTATTTCTTCTTTCTTTCTTTCTTTCTTTTCTTTTTTCTTTCTTTTTTCTTTCCGCCCTTTCTTTCCGCCCTTTCTTTTTTCCGCCCTTTCATTTATTCTTTCTTTCTTTTTTCTTTCTTTCTTTCTTTCTTTCTTTCTTTTCTTTCTTATATATTTAATTCTATCTTATTTTTAATACCAGACACTTCATTTTCATTCATTCTTTCTTTCTTTCGTTTTCCATTTTTTATTCGTTCCATACAAAGCAATTGCATTCTTTCTTTCTTTCTTTCTTTCTTTTTCTTTCTTTCTTTCTTTCTTTCTTTCTTTCTTTCTTTCTTTTATATTTAATTCTATCTTATTTGTAATATCAGACACTTCATTTTCATTCTTTCTTTCTTTCTTTCTTTCGTTTTCCATTTTTTATTTTTTCGAAACAATGCAATTTCATTCTTTCTTTCTTTCTTTCTATTCTTTCTTTCTTTCTTTCTTTCTTTCTTTCTTTCTTTCTATTCTTTCTTTCTTTCTTTTTTCTTTCTTTCTTTCTTTCTTTCTTTCTTATATATTTAATTCTATCTTATTTTTAATACCAGACACTTCATTTTCATTCATTCTTTCTTTCTTTCGTTTTCCATTTTTTATTCGTTCCATACAAAGCAATTGCATTCTTTCTTTCTTTCTTTCTTTTTCTTTCTTTCTTTCTTTCTTTTTCTTTCTTTCTTTCTTTCTTTTATATTTAATTCTATCTTATTTGTAATATCAAACACTTCATTTTCATTCTTTCTTCTCTTTCTTTCTTTCTTTCTTTCGTTTTCCATTTTTTATTTTTTCGAAACAATGCAATTTTATTCTTTCTTTCTTTCTTTCTTTCTTTCTTTCTTTCTTTCTTTCTTTCTTTCTTTCTTTCTTTTCTTTCTTTCTTATATATTTAATTCTATCTTATTTGTAATACCAGACACTTCATTTTCATTCTTTCTTTCTTTCTTTCGTTTTCCCTTTTTTATTCTTTCGAAACAATGCAATTTCTTTCTTTCTTTCTTTCTTTCTTTCTTTCTTTCTTTCTTTCTTTTTTTTTTTTAATTCTTCCTCTTGTTCACTTTGTATTTATTTCTGATAATTGATTCCAATTAAAAATTCGTTCTTTTACCCAAAGTTTGATTTTGTTTTGAAAATATTTGCTTAAATAATGCTTTTTTCCCGTTTTCCAAACAGACACATAAAAATACATAGACAAAAGCAAATATGCATACGTATATACATTGGTAAGACCATTCCTCCGGAAGCTGCCTAAAATCACTTTGTCTCGACAAATTAAAGGGAATGGAAAAAATAGCGTTGGAATATATATTTTACGTAAATCAAATACTGTAGATTGAAGAATCACTGAATTTATTCATTGCTCTTGATGATCTTAGGTCGACTCCGAAAACTTATTGCCGCCACTTTAGATTCATATAAATAAACTTCATCTTTAAGGATAAATTTGACTATGAGATCTCTGACAGCCTTTCAAAGACATGGCTCCGTGCTTTGGGAAATTCTGCTAACTAAGGCGCAGATGTGGGAACGGTTGCAAAGAATAAAGGCGGTTGTCTCAGCTCTTCATGAATGACATCGTTGTTCCCTGCAGGAAGAACAGGAGATGATATGCTTGACGTCGTTAACATCGCAGAAGTTACTGGAACCAGATAGAAGACTTCAATTCTCTTAATTTCTCAAGAGTCTAGCGAATGTCTTTGAATTCAGAATTTTCTTTCTAAACTAGTAGTCTGTTCTGCTCGTTATTTTAATCATAGCTGAGAAGAATTGCATTAGTGTCTGGGTTTGAGTGATTGATTTGTTACTTATACCTTATCAAAACTTTGTGCTTTGTTTAAAGCTGAAAGATATGTTGTATTGTAAGACTAATTCTTTATATGCGCAGTCCTGGGTATGACGATAAACTACATCTGGCAGCATTTGTGTCTGGGTTTGAGTGATTGATTTGTTCCTTACGCCTTATGATAACTTTGTGCTTTGTTTAAAGCTGAAATATATGTTGGATTGTAAGACTAATTATTTATATGCGCAGTCCTGGGTCTGACGATAAACTACATCTGGCAGCATAACTCCTAATTGAGAAATTCGAAGATTCGCGAAGCATAGAATCACCTCTTAATTAATGGTGGTCTCAGGTTCACTCGGAAAATAATGAACCGTCAAACGAAAGTAACACTATGGAAATGTAAGAAAACATTTTTTTTTAGTAAAAATACCAGGAAGACATTTGTATAGTGGGAATAGAATAAATACATTTTTATAGAAATATGGCCAGCAATACATTTTATCTGTAGTTGAAGCCATATAGTTGTGTTCAAAATATTCTGATTCCGGTATTAAATAGCCCATAGAGGTTGATATGGCGTTAAAAAACAACCACACTTTATTTGCAATTGAATATTGTATTAACAATACACTTTAGAAAATAACAATGATTGTTTTCCAAAATAGAAGTCCTACTATTTAACCCATACATAGGGGAAGGAGATGGATACATATCTTTCTCAAAAGTATTTGAACATAAGTGAATGTACCTAATCAAAATTGTTTACCCATCCTTGTGGGCAAGGAATTTATTTTTGAAACTACTAACTTTTTTACGCAGACTTATCCCTGCAAGCCTATCGTGAATCTGTTGCTACTTCTACGGCAAATATTTAGAGTAGCTCTATTATTTAATTCCATCAACTCAGACTTTTTCAGCCAAGGTCCGCCTTTCTCTGTACCCTAGCTTGTCTGAATATCATTCTGTTTCATATTCCTCTGTTAAGAAGGATTTTCCATTCAGAAATCTTCCTTCCAAAAATCTTTACTTAGTTGAATAGGCTCCTTCTCAAATACTACAGTCTTAACCTTTTCAAGTCTAGGGTCTATCGTTAACTATCCGCCATACGTTCGCAATCTTCACTTCCGGCGGAAGTTTCACATAAGTTTTCCTTCATTTTTTTTGGCCAACTCTTCCAGGCTATTTTATTCGATTGTGTATGTAAACATACAGAAAATTATTTCAAGAGTGTTTAAACAATTTTCTTCTTTATAATTTTTCTTTTATCGCAAATAAATATAAACCTTACCAATCATGTTTCTAATGCCATTCTTTTGTTATATATTTCTTCACCGATCGTCTGTCATTGTAGTTGTACTCAGGTTGGAATAAAAAGTGCTTTAGCAAGGTATCGTTAATTTTATATGCGTCTTTTTAGACTCATTTGACACATATTAATCATACGTTCAATTGTAATGGGACACATTTTGGGGAAACCTTCTTCAGAAGAAGAATCCCCAACTTCTTGCAGAAACCTAACGGAATTTTTCATCATGAAATGGCAATGTTCCTTTTTTTAAAAAAAAGTGGTATTCTTACCTAAATCCTCGGCTGCTGTCTATTGAGATGAACTTGTCTATTGTCAGTTCTATAGTGAAATATATGTAATGAAAACAGGACAAGAGATTCTGTCTAGTAATCGTTTATTCAATTAAGAATACTACTACTCATCGATATTGAGTCACCCCCCCCACGAGGGTGTCATGTGGCACAAGGCCTTTTTAACGTGGGCATTCCCGAGCCATTAGGCTCGGCCAAAAAATAGCCCATTTGAACCCGTATAAACGGGTTCAGGTCCGGTTTTACCTCCCCGAAGGAGACTCCGCCCTTCGGCGTAGCCTCCTTTGGGTTCCTCCCGCCCGTAGGAAGAGAGTTCAAACCGAGCAGTCTGTTCAAAAGTGAACTACTGACTCAATACTACTACTCATCTGACTTGACAGCGGAAGTATACAGCTTTTATAGCTTGGATTATCTAAGAGGAGATAATCCATATTCACAACAATATATTCGTTTATTACCGCTGTTTCATAAGCCGCGGGTTTTTGGTAATAGAAGTCTTACCGTATACTGAAATAACTTTGGCAATTCTTGTTGAAATAACCCCAATTTTTCACAGAATGCATAGAAACAAAGATTTTATAATTAATGTTTTATTTTTGTTCTGTTTTCATTTTGAGCCATGCCATTCACTCCCAAAGTGCCTTGGAATATGCTCGTACACAGTTACCCAAAACTGTGCAGTGTGCCTTCAAAGTAAAATTTGAAAAAAAAAAAACATTATTAACTGGCAAACAAATTTGGACTTGGTACCAAAAATTTAAAAAAGGAAGGATGTTTATGCAGGTCTAAAGGATCTTGTAGACCATCATTAACATCATCGTATTTGGCAAGAGCTTAACTACCGATTTGACGTATGCCGTGTCACAGGCGGTGCACATATTGAACACTTATAATATCGGTCCCATAACAGACTTATGATGTTCAACACCTAAACTGTTCAATTTCATTGAGCTAGACTTAGTTGTTTACATGATAATTGCTTTTAAAATGATAACAACATTTGGAGACACCCTGTATATATATATATATATATATATATATATATATATATATATATATATATATATATATATATAAAATCAAAATGAGTGAGTGTATGTATGGCGGGTATGCGTAATCGGATGTTGTTTATGCGTTTCCACAGTTTTCATCCGATTTCTATGATTTTTTGTTTGCTAGATAATTCTTCAGTGTCGGTTTTGAGTCCAAATTTTTGGCGACAATGGCTCTCCACTACTTCTTGTCCATTATAACTCTCAGCAATGTTTTACCATTTCTGTTATTACTGTTCTTGGATATATAACATTCATAAAAACTTTAGTAAAAATAAATAGTTTAATTTATTAAAATAATATTATTTATTATTATACAGTTAAATTTATATAATTAATTACATCTGTATATATAATTCTCAAAATGTATGTATGTATGTGTGTATGTGTGTATGTATGTATGTATGTGTGTATGTATGTATGTGCGTGTGTGTCATTGGATTTTGTTTATACATTTCTACCGTTTTCATCCGATTTCGATGAACTTATTTTATTTGATAATACTTCAGTGCCTGTTTTGAGTTCAAATTATTCGCGACAATGGCTCTCCACTACTACCTGTCTATTATAACTTTCAGCAACGTTTTACTATTTACACTTTGTTCCTGGATATATATCTTTCATAAATACTTTAATAAAATAAATAGATCAAATTATTACAATAATAATATTTATTATTATATAGTTTCCTTTTCAAGGTCAC